GCCTATTTATAAATTATAATAAAAAAATAAAATTTATTATAAATAAAATAACACACTATTAAATATTCTTGAAAATCATACTATCAGTCAATAAATAATACAATAAAAGTTTACAAATATTTTGTAGTAAAATAATATAATTATTTTAATAGTATACTTCACTTTGAATTACACTATTATTTAATACATTATAGTTAATAATAGTAATATAATTATACTATATATAAATATTATAAATAAGAATAGTTATAAATAGCATATAATTTATTATTCTTAATCTAAATTATACATAAAAATATTATATTATATATTATAGTATTAAATAATTATTTAATTTGTTACATGTATTTAACTAAATTATGATTAAATTATAATAATTATGCAAGAAGTAGAAATTACTCATATAATTCTTTATACACAACTTTATTTATTAATGAAAAAAAATTATTAATTATTAAATTTAAGAATTTATATTATTACAAAAGTTACTTTATAATTTTTCACTCAAAGAAAAAGAATTGAAGATAAAAAATAGTGTATTCACGTGCAAACCACGTGCATTATACTAGTCTAAAATATATACTTATACTATTATAAAGTGGGTTGTCATGTTAAAACATTTCTACCCAAAATGCCCTCTAGTATATCCATTCATACATACATGCTCAATTTTTTATAGCCTCCCAAATGCTTGCACATCCATGCATACATACATGAAGGCATACAAGCTCAATTTTTCATAACCTCCCAATTGATAGCCATCAATTTTTCAATTAATCACCTACTCATAACACTCATCCACTAACTCCTGATACACTAAAATAACTTTGTGTACTAATGATAAAAAAATATTACAACTATTCCTCTCCTACCAAATCACTATAAATAATAAGAAAATTTTATTAAATTTCTCCAATCAACATTCCAATTTGTAATTAAAATTTAGATTGAGAAGAAAAGAGCCAAATCTAGCTCTCTTTGATGCTTACGACTTTAGCATTTTCGAGCTCACTTTCTCTATGATCTTTATAATTTTTATGTTCTTTTCTTGATCAACATTGCTACATATTAAGATCTAAGGTGTTTAATTATTTTTTGCCCTTTTTTGGAGATGATGTAAAAATAAGTGATTTATTTAATAAATAATAATTAAAGTTTCTATACATTTTCACATTCTATTTTTGTTCTCAAACCATAATTGTGCAGTATTTTGTTAACTATGAGCTTTTTAGTGATTCTTTACATGATTACGTGCATTGAATTAAAGGAGCAAAAGAAAACTCTTATCTTAATTATGTAGCTTAATAGTTTGAGGCTAAAACTATTCCATATAAGTAAATTAATTATAACTAATTTAATAATTTAAGTAATAACTAAGTCAATTTAATATATTATAATGGCATGTTCATATCAGATTCACTAAAAAAGTTGGTGCAATAAAATTGAATGATGAAAAGGAAAATAAAAAATAAGGAGTATATTAACAATTTTACAAGGTCACAAATCTATTCATCTTTTCATCTTTTCATCTTTTTTTAATATTGATTAGAAGAATTTAATTTGTTGTTTAATCTTTGAAACTGAATGTTGATTTAATTGATAAAGAATGATTTGATCTCTTGCATTGGCGATCTATTTTAGCTTCTTAGTTCTTATATCATAACATTTTTATTAAAATTTATGAACCTAAAAGTAGCTATTGGTTTGGTGAAATTTTTGCTAAAAAATAATTAATTATAAATTTTGAGTCAATAAACTAACATTTCAAAAATAAATTAGAATAAGTTATTTGCTAAGTAAGAAATTTTTAAACTTGAGTTATTAGGTTTATTATAAAAAAAAATTCTCTTCTATGTCAGTGTTGTTTGTTGTAATTCATTAAACTATTGTGAATGTCAATCTAGATGAATAACTACGTAATGAGAGGAGAGATATAAGACTATTTTTTCACATATATCTACTCATATCATAAGCTTTTGGGCATAATAGCAAGTCAAGAACACTTTGGTTACTAAATTGGCTGTTAGTTTAGTAAAATTATGTGAATGATGAATTAATAATAAAATTCGAAACCTTAAAGTATCATTTCAAAACGCTAATGAATGGCATGGCCATGGGAGGCGAAGAATTAGGTCATACATCTCTTTGGATTTATCAAAATAAATTATTAGCTAACTAAAATTTCTTAACCCGTGTTATAAGTTTTTTTACCAATGTTGTTTCTTGCAAATAATTAAATCATAGCTCAACTTCAATTTAGATTAAGAACAAGGTAATGAAGGAGAAATATATATACTAAGGATACCAAATTTTTTCATTAAAATTTCTAAATTGAGTTAATTTTTTAGGGTTAAGACCTAATTACCATTGGCTGAAATTAGTCTCCTCCCATTGTAAAAAGATAGGTAAAAATGTAAATAAAAAAATTAATTAGGGTAAAATAAAGCCATAATTGACATGTGAGTAGAACATGTGAATACTCAGACATTCAAGTAACATAATATACTAATTTGCCATGTTTAAACAAGCTGGGTTTGTAAGTGCAAACTTTTACAATTTAGGATGTATAAGATTAAGGAAGATAAAAATATAAGGTATTTAAGTGTTTTTTTAGCCTTTTAGAAAACTCCTTAAATTTGGTCATTTCTTAGATAAAACCATTAACTTGCAAAATGTTGTAATCCCCCCACCCCCCAAAAAAGATCTTTGACGATCTCAATCCCCTTAACCTTTTAATAATTTTCAAAAAATCATTCTTAATGGCAATAATCATTACTTCATACTTTTTCATATATGAGTAAAATTATGCAGGTTGATATTATTGATAATAAAAATTATGTTTTACACTTTTAGGGTTTGAATGTGGTTTTCTGAGAATCTTAAAACTTAAAGAGTTTTGTGACATTTTAAAAATTTGAGGGCTTTATCCTGGAGCATTTGTGAAATTACCCTAAATAAAATGTATAAATTTTATAATTGAAAAACTGATTTGATATCTAATAAAGTGTTAATGAAAATCAAGCTAATTTGAAATACTATTATATAATAAAATTATACATTAGATACATAAAATTATCATTACAATGCGCATTTATAGCCTACATATAAACATGAAAATGGATACACGTGCAAAACACATGCACCATACTAGTACTATTATAAAAGCGTATAGTTATGTTAAAATATTTCTTCCAAAAATACCCTTCAAAACACATACGTGCACACATAATTACATATATGCATACATGCATAAATAAATTGTAACTCTTCAAATTCTTCTCATAACCCCCAATCCTATTAAATCAACTTAATTATTTATCAATGGTGTATGACATTTAATATACTAAGATACATCTATTTCATAGTAAAAGTTGGATATTAATAAAAAAATAATCCAATATTTTATTCTGAAATGTGTTGGATGTTAAAATATTTCTTATGAAAATGTTCTCCAATTTGTATGTACAATTGTAAAATGCTCTTATATTGATATGAGTATCCATGTAATTTTGTGTCATTCATAATAAAGCAAATACATACATGTACATATATACATACCCAATTTTAATTATTGAAGAAAAATATAGAGTAATAGTAATAATAATAATAATAATAATAATAATAATAATAATAATAATAATAATAATAATAAGCACTCACCCATAACCTCCTCACATTCATAGCGTCTTTATTAATTTTGTTAGCTAAATTCTTTATTTAATCACCAACCAATAACCTCCCAATAAAGTATCTCTTAGTACTAGCTATTAAACTCTATCAACATCTTATCAATTTCCGTGACTTTGTGATATAAGAGGGGTTGGAAGATGATGAGCCCATTTTAGCAACACAACTTGAGTCAAAGGCCATGAAAGATTTGCAGGAGTTTGGAGAGGAGGGATATTGAATGTGAGAAATGGGTAAGAAAGTTTTTGATTTAAAGATTTGACATTTTCTTTTTTTTTATATAGTTTTTATAACACATCCAATTTGTAATGGAAAATGATTTAATGACCCAAAATATGGGACTAATGGAGGGGACATGTGAGGTGTCCCCTCCCTATTGCATAATGAGTTGGCTGTGCCAACTCATTATGTAATAGGGAGAAGATATCTCACTTGTCCCCTTCATTGGTCTCATATTTTGGGTCCTCGTAGCAACACTCATTTGTAATACATGGTGGATTCAAATTCCCTTTTCACGATCGGTATTATATTAATCAAAGATCTCAACTATAGTTCAATGTGTAAGAAAGCTTTTGATTTAGAGGCTTGTCATTTTCATCTTTTTATATAATTTTTAAAACAAATCCAAGTTGTAATATATCGTGGATTTAGATTCCTTCTCCACAGTCGTTACTATACATAATCAAAGATTCAACTATAATTCAAATAAGTGTATTAAAAAATAGTATCAGTTTGCTAGTCATCAACTGTAATTTTCGTCATTTGTTTAATCTTCTTTAAAAAGCTAATTATTTCTAAAGTTTGACAATCATCATATTTTGCTAGGTATGAACTATAACTTCTGTATTTTGCTAACAATCGAGAAGAGATCATTGCCGAGGACAAGGAAAACAATAAGACGCAATCATACATAGCATTTATCAATATCTAGAGGTTGATCGGCGACATGGCCAAGAACCATGTCTCCATGACAGGATCAATACACAGCTGATTCGGTGAGTTTTTATATTTATCTTTGATTTGTCCGCGTTTATGGTGTCAACATTCATATATGTTAACATGATTTCTACCATATGTTTTTATATTTATCTATGATTACAATATGTTTTAATGATGAATAGGCTCAGAGTGACGCTAACTTGTGGCTGTCAAAGTCATTACTTTTTTTTTTTGGTCAATGAAAAGAGTATATTCATTTACCAAGTAAAGAGTTTATGTACATCAAAGAACTCATTTACATGAGAAAACTATATGGCTCCCGTGCAAACACACAGGGAACACTCAATTAAACTACTGTAAGAGAACAAAACATCCTATAAAGATAAACTCCATTCCTTGAATTCAGCCGAAAGGGAGCTGTTATTTAGGATGACAGTCAGCATCTCAATTTTAATGCTTCTGATCAAAAGAGCTGCATTATGTACTTTCTGCTTGAAGATTCTGCTGTTTCGCTCCTTCCATATACAGTACACTGTAGCTGCAAGTGCCATTCTTTTGGTTCTTTGCTTAAACCCCTTCCCTTTCAATCTGCAATTATACCAATCCATCAGCAGATTCCATTCACATGCTCTCCATTTGTATTTTAGCCAATCCATGACCCCATTCCAAACCTCCCTTGAGTAATCACATTTAAAGAAAAGGTGGTCTCTACTCTCTGTTTCAGCTCCTGCACATAAACTGCAGCTATTAACTTGGATAATTCCTCTTCTTATCAACTTGTCCTGTGTAAGAAGCCTATTCTGGACTGCAAGCCACAACACAAAAGAGTGTTTTGGGTAGTTGAGATTCTCCCAGACAGTGCTATGCCATTGTACTCTGGTTGTTATCGGACATAGGCATTTATACAAACTAGAGAGATGTACTTTTGGAGCATTGTAGCAAGAGTTGATTAACAACTTCAGATTTTCAGCACCTCCATACAAATTTAACATCTTATCCCTGACCTTTAAAAGCTGTTTCCACATCCAAGAATCACCATTTCTCACCTCAACCTGCCAGATATCTCTGTGTTTTAAATATGTTTCATGAACCCACTTGATCCATAAAGACTCTTTGTTAATATGAATATACCAAAGAGTCCTTAGAGCAGATGCATTATTCCAAATAACTGCTGAATAAATCCCCAATCCACCGAATATCTTCCCAAGACAGATTTTATCCCAAGATACTAGTGATGTTTTGGAGGCATGATCATTCTTTCCCCCATAGAAAATTTCTACTCAGTTCATCAATCTTATGGAGGACTCTTATTGGAAGTACATAACTGGAAGTCCAGAATATTTGAATTCCAAGAATGACACTTTTAATAATTTGTAGTCTACCAGCATAAGACAGGGTTCTGTGCTTAGACCAGGCTTGAAATTGGCTTGTTATTTTAGAGAATAAAGAACTGCAGTCAACATATGATAGCCTCTTGCTTATTAGAGGAACTCCTAGATATTTAATTGGAAATGTACCTTCGGAGAATCCCAACTGATCATGGATGGAGTTCCTGACTGAATTCTCCACCCCCCCATAAAAGATAGAACATTTATTTGGATTTGCTTCTAAGCCAGAGGTTGCACTGAATTTTGAGATACATTGATGTAACCTGTGCACTGAATATGGATCCCCATTGCTGAATAGGAGGAGGTCATCTGCAAATATCAGGTGGCTGATCTTAAATTTTCCACACTTTGGATGGTATTTGAATTTTCTGTCTTGTTTCAACTGGTTAAGACTTCTAGAGAGATATTCCATGCCAAGAATAAACAAGTATGGAGACAATGGATCTCCTTGTCTTAAACCCCTTTCCCCCTTAAAATATCCATGGAGAGAGCCATTGAGAGAGATGGAGTATTTCGGAGAGGATATACAGACCATAATCCATTTAATCATGCTGCTAGGAAAGCCCAGGCCAGATAATATCTCTTCAATAAAACTCCAGCTGATTGTGTCAAATGCCTTCCTTATATCTATATTTAACATGATTCTTGGTGATATATGTTTCCTCCCATAGTTCTTAATGAGCTCATGAGCTAGCATGATATTATTTGTAATATTCCTCCCTTTAACAAAGGCACTTTGAGCCTCACTAATAAGATAGCCTATGACAGATTGAACTCTGTTTGCAATGATTTTAGAGATAAATTTGTAAAGGCAATTACAGCAGGATATAGGCCTGAAATCTGAAGGGCTTTTGGGACAAATAACCTTTGGAATGAGTGATATTGAAGTAGAATTAATTGCCCCCAGAAGTTTCCCTGTCCTGAAAAAATCTTCACTGGCCATTGTAACTTCTTCACCAATTATTGCCCATGAAGCTTTGTAGAAAGAAGCACTAAACCCATCTGGACCTGGGGCTTTGTTGTCATTGATTGAGAAAACTGCATTCTTAATCTCATCTCTAGAAATTGGAGCTGACAGTTTACTAGCCTGAGCTGCATCCAGACAGGGACCATCCTTAATGATATTAATATCAGGTTTGTCAGTTGGTATAGCAGTTCCCATGAGATTTCTATAAAGTCATTACTGATCCTAAAGACATGACATGATTGTCGCCTGCTATATATCAAGAACAAGGAGAAGTTGTTTACCACCAAGTAGATTTCATCAATAATCTTAATTAAGATGAGGGATTTCGATTAGACCAATTTAATTTGCTAGGTTTATTTTTGATAAAATTGATGATACATTATGCGAGTTTTAATTTTGAAAAGATGTACTATTAGGCTGGTATAATATTATGAGCTCTTTCTTATTAAGTATATTTCTCTCTCTCAAGCTAACCACGACATCATCAATATATCTATTTGGAAGCTTGCATAGTAGTCAAAATTAGTTTTTGTACAGCAAATGAGTTACATATATGCAACCTTTTGTAAAGTCTAATTTGTACATTAAAAGCTTCTTTCATTTTCAAACAATACGAGTCACAGCGAAATGTGGTAAATGTTTAGTGAAGGAGTACATACATGGTGCTTGATAGAAATGCAAAGCTCCCTAACATTCCTCAGACTGTCTTTGACCCAATACAAAGATATCATCATACCTCTACATTTAAATGAAAACACAGAACAAAAATAGAAAGGGGAATAACACACCATGGTTTTGGCCAACAGTAGATACCATGAATAAGTATTTGTAAGTCAAAGTGGTGCGACATAAACATGTACCAAAAATGTTACAAGTGCACAACCGTGTCCAGTTATAGTATAAAAAGTTATCGATCCCACGAGTAAGGTGTTTTGTAGGAGAAAATTAGAATCGGTTCTTATGTTGTGTGCGTGACAATTAGGAGTGATAAAAATTATGGTTATGGAGAGATATGAGGAATGATTGTTGTGAATATGTGCAAGAGACAATAAATTAAATTTTAGAGGAGAGAATAAAGAATCAAAGAATAAAACAAAAAGCAAGAATAAAAAGAGAGAAAAACAAGAAAACAAAAGACAGAGTATTCAATATGAGAAATCTAGAATTAAATCCACTAGCTAATCTCAATTATAAAATACAAATTATTCTGTTTTTATCATATTTTAATTTAGATTTATTAAGTATAGACTATCAAACCATTTAAGGAAAGTATAACCTATTATTTTAATTTAGATTTATTAAGTATAGACTATCAAACCATTTAAGGAAAGTATAACCTATCAAATTATCATCTAACAAACCATTTAAGGAAAGTATAACCTATCAAATTATCATCTAAGTCAAAATAAAAATCATGATAAGAACTACAACAAGATAGTAATTCTAGAATTCATAAGTATAACCTATCAAACCATTTAATATAAACATAGATTATCAAATTCTTCTTCTATCAATTAGTTCTCTAGTTGATTATCCTATACATGATCTTTAAGTGTAAGAAAATAATTTGCATAACATAAAAGAAATTAGACTAGTTTCATACAATTCTAAGATTTCTACAAGAATTAATTCCACATCTTAAGAAATAAAATCAAGAAGAAAAAGAACTAATTCAAAAATAAAAAGAAAAGAAAAATCTAAACTATGAACAAGAAAATAAATCTACTCTACAAATTAAAATGTAAAAAGGAAATAAAAAGACAAAAAAATAAATCTACATTACAAGCATGAATGTAAATCTAACTAATAAGCAATAATAAAAAATTACTAAAATAAAATAAAAAAAATAAAAAAAATACAAACCTCCAAATAATTCTTCATCTCCATCTTCATCATCCAACAAAGAGAAGAAATACTTAAAATGGTAAAAAATTATTTTATTAATTATAACAAAAGTTATAAATTTAGAAGACCTTCTCAATTAAGAGTGGTCATACTCTCCAAATAGAGTTACAAAAAATTTTACACCCTTAACCCTTCACTCTCTACCCTAATTTATAATAAACATCAGTGAATGAGAGCCTTTGGATTAAAATCTTATCCAAAGACATCAAGTTTTAGCCTTAGATTCATAACTGCATGCCAGAGCTATCGATAAGGGGCATCGATAGGCTTATCGATAAGGGCATCGATAAGCGCATCGATTCGCCCATCGATGTGCCCATCGATGTCCCTATCGATTTGAGCTGCTTCCCTTTTACTGTCCAGGCTTCCCTTCTTCTCTTGGGCTTGGGCTTTTACTTTGGCTTTTCTTCTTCTTTTATTAGCTTGGCCTTTTGGATAATTTGGAAATTCTTCTTTTGGAAATGTTTTGAAATTTTGCTAATGTTTTTCATTAATTCGTGGGCTTTATTGAGAGATGGGAGTTTGAGATTTATTCTTTATTAATTTGTATTTAAAGATAAAAATAATTATTAGTGATATATTTATTTATATAAAATAGATAATAAGGGTATAAAATTATAATAAAATATGATTATCAAATACCACCACATCTAAACTTTTGCTAGTCCTCTAGCAAAGAAATAAAAATAAATCCCTAACACACTTTTGTAGGAATCACGGTTGAATTTAGCGCATACAACAAGCCTTTAAACCCCTAGGTTACCCTAGTAGACGAGTTGTAGTCTCATGAGGGTTTGCAGTGAATATACCCACAAAATTCGATCAACTTGCTAAATTAAAAAATTTAGTAAATAACTAAATTTACTTGATAAATTTAGACAATCTAATTGAAGCTAGTTACTACTCAAGAAAACATTTTTATATATAACTCCAAAGTGAATTTTCTAGAAAATCTTCTCATTATAGCAATACAAAAACCAAGCCAAACTTAGAAATTTAATTTAAAAATTTTGAAAAGAACATGCTAACTCTTTATTTTAAATAAGTTTCAAGTCTCCTGATCAAAAATATTTTTCAAGACTATATATACAAATATAACTATATATATAAAATATTTGTTAGTATTTTTTTCCAACTCTTTCTTCATTGGTGATTTTTTTCTACTTTAACGGGCTTTCTAAGTGACCATTTAATGAGTTTTGGGCCAATGGATCCTAACCCAATTTGGCTTAGGTAATTAAGTATAGAGATACTCCTTAGGCTTATTTACTCAGTCAACTTAGGCTTTATAAGATAGAATCACCTTGAATTTAAGAGTTTTTTTAATATACATATGTGTGTAAGTATAAATGTAGTCTGAAAAAAATGTGTAAATCAAGATAACCAGAAAAAATATTTTCAATGTTAAGTTAAGCATGCAAAAATTTTATTATTTTTAATTAAAAGTCTAAGTTAAGGCTTAAGTAAAGTATACTACTTTGAAAAATTATTTCTTAAGAAATTTATTTGGAGTTATCATGAAAGGTGAACTTGAGTATATTACTAACTAGGAATTAGAAAATTTAAAATCTATCAATTAAATTAATTATTACTTAACTCTATTAATTTGGCAAGTGACAATATTTTATAATTTTTTAATAAAAAAGAAAAAAATAAAAAAAAATGCAACTAAAAAAGTAAAATAAAGTGAAAAAATAACTAATTCCCACCCCCATACCTAAATTTTGCATTATCCTCAATGTAAATTCTTGATGCACAAAGTAATGCAGATAAGAATTAAAGAACTTACATTTGTTTTGTCGACCTAGAATAATGATGATAAAGTTCTGCAGTTACTGTTAGTATGAGGATGAAGAAATCAAATAAATAATAATAATAATAATAATAATTTATTATTATATTTTTTTAGAAAAGAGAAAAAATAAATGTTTTTTAAATGAGAAAAAAGGAAAAATCTAACTAAACAATTTTTTTTGATAATAATAAAAGTTAGTTTTTTTAACTAGGAAAAACCTAACTAAAACAAATCCTATATTTTTTTTGAAACATAAGAGTTATTTTTTTATAAGAAGAAAAATAAAAAACCTAACTAAAACAAATAAAAATAATAATCACTTTGCAATCACTTTAACTCTAGGGTTAAGCCTAACTCAACTAGACCAGCTCCTAACCAAAAATTCTTTAAGTGAAAAGATAAAAGTTTTACTCGGTTAGTTAGCTAGGTAAGGATAAGAATAGAGGTTGATTAGAGATCGATTAAGTACCTTAACCCCTAAGTCTTGCCTTAGACACCAACTAATCTAAGAAAACTTAAACCGGTTCACTTAGAAATTTCTTGTATCTTATTGAGCTTGAATCCTTAGGGGTTAACGTCTAATGAGTTTTAAAGAGGATTGGGTTTATGTAGTGAGGACTTAGTGATTTGTGGGCTAAGGAAAAGGTGATAAAATCTCTCACATTATCTTGATTAGGGGGTTTTGCCCTTGAATATTTTTAAGTGTGTGCCAAGTCAGGTGCTACAATCACTTTGGTGAATTCCTACTAACTATATGCAATGCAACCCTATGAATTAAAAGTGACTACAAAATGATGATAAAAAGAAAATCTTTTTTTATGATTAACAATTAAACAAAACTGAAAAGATAGCTCTTGTTTGAATTTATTATCTTGTTAGTAAATATCAAAGTAGAGGGTGAATTTTATTATGGTCAACGAAAATAAACTTTTTTTTATCCTAATTGTCGCTAATTGTGAGAAACTAGCTAAATGTGTGGAATTAAAAATATTAGGAAGAAGACTTACCACAAGGGAATCTCCAAATCCATAATCTCCAATCCTTGATCTTTAATCTCTAAGTAGTTCTTTCACAAAAAACACACAAGTTAAAGAACCAAAATAATTAAAACCTACTTAAGCACCTTCCCCGGCAACGGCACTAAAAACTTGATGTGGTATAAACATGTACAAAAAATATTACAAGTGCACAACCTTGTCAAGTTATAATATAAAAAGTTATCAATCCCACAAGAAATGTGTTTTTTAGGAGAAAATTAGAATCAATTCTTATGTTGTGTGTGTGACAATTAGGAGTGATGAAATTATGGTTGTGGAGAGATATGAGGAATGATTGTTGTGAATATGTGCAAGAGACAATAAATTGAATTTTAGAGGAGAGAAGAAAGAATCAAAGAATAAAACAAAAAGCAAAAATAAAAAGAGAGAAAAACAAAAAAACAAAAGATGGAGGATTCAATATGAGAAATATAGAATTGAATCCACTAACTAATCTC